ATTTTGTTTGTCATACTGCTCTGCCAGAGCTACATTCTTTGGGAATGAGTAAATTGGGGGGGGGGTGTGGGTGGAGGAGATCAAAGTTTCTAAAACGACAAGTGCTTCATGAGAACGAAAGGCCAACACCATGTCTGTGTTCAAAATATTTATCGTGAACAAGTTGTTTGCTTTGAGCTTTGGGGCTGAAGCAGTGATCGGTTTGTTCGTTTTGCTGCGTATGCTTTAAAGATATATCTGTGTTCCTTTTAAATTGTGGCTCGCATTATTCAAGCTGTTAAACAGCGGTAGCTCAGGACGGTTCGGCATTTGAGGTGCTGGCAATAATCACACATCCCCTCGGGTTAACAACTCAAGGAGGGACCTGGAGTTCTCCTGGAATTACAACTGATCTCCAGACTATGGACGTCACATCAGTTCCCCTGGAGAAAATAGCACTTCAGAGGGCGGACTCCATGGTATACCATAGAGTTTAGGAAAATTGAAGTTCTAGAGTCACTTAACATCCCTGATGAGTAGAGTTGTCAACACCAGGTTAGGAAATTCCTGGAAAATGCGTAGGGTGGAATTTGGGGAATGAAAGGAGCTCAGTAGGGTATAATTCCATAGAGTCCTTCCTCCAAAGCAGCCATTTTCTCCAGGAGAACTAATCTCTGTACTCAAAAGATCAGTTGTAATTCTAGGTGATCTCCAGGCTTCACCTGGAGATTGAGAACCCTACTGCTGAACTTCATCCCCTTCCCAAACTCTGGCCTCAGTAGGCCATGCCCTAAATCTCCAGGAATTTACCCAAACCAGAGTTGGGATACTTCCTCCCCCCTCACTGAGGCTGCTACTGACCATGAGCTGATGGAGATGACCCTCCTTAGCTCTTAATCAACCCTGATCTCTTTAACAAATAGTGCATCAAGCTGTGCATCCTCTATAAGGCATCATGAATTATGAGACTGCTTCCTCTCAATGAGAGTTGGGCCACCATTTTGATTGTCCTGGTAACCAAACTCTCATGGAGAAAACGGATCTTGTATGCATTTGAAATTGGGAGGGAAGGTGACATGGTATGGCCCGATCTCATCAGATCTCGGAAGCTAAGAGGGTCAGCACTTAGAAGGGAGACCACCAAGGAAAACTCTGCAGAGGAAGGCAATGGCAAACCACCTCACTTGCCTTGACAGCCCCTTGCTGAGATCACCGTAACTCAGCTGCGACTTGATGGCACTTTATACACACACACGGGCTGCTTGCCGTGCTGCTTTCCAAGAGACCTGCGAGAACAAGAAGATAAGGAGGACAGTCTCCTGGGTGGAGCAGCAAGAGGGCAGATGGGCAGGCATTGGTTAGTGGCAGGAAGAACAAGAGATTAACATCCCCCAAATCTGCAGCCTGAAGCAACCACATCATCAGGGGAGCCTCATTGAGCTGGCCCCGCCCTGAAACAGGGGTAACTCCAGGATTCCAGTGTTCCTGATTTATTTTATAAAATAAGATTCTGTGTGCCTTTCCCTTGATTTGCATGCTCTTCTACTGGTATATGTTGCTGGTTTTTCTCACTTCTGATCTAGACAGTCCATATTTAAAGAACTGTTGGATTCTGAGCTTGCAAGCTGAATAATTTTGAGGAAACACCACGGAGAATTAATGTTGACATCTCTATGAGTCTCGCTATGGAAGAGAGGACCACAGAAGACCTGCTCTTCCGAGACCAGGACTTCTCCTCTGAACTGCTAAGGCAGCTTAATGTTTTATGGCAAAACGGAATCCTAACAGACGTCATTCTGTGCACGAGTGACATCGAAATCCCTTGCCACAGGAATGTGCTTGCTTCAAGCAGCCCTTACTTCAAGGCAATGTTTTGCAACAACTTCATAGAGAGCTGTCAGGAAAAAGTCAACCTCCAAGGTATCGACTCGGGCATTCTTCATTGTATCATTACTTACGTCTACACGGGAGAGATTCTCATAACAGTGGAGAATGTTTTGCATCTGATGGAGACGGCTTCCATGCTCCAGTATGTGAGACTGTTTGAGGCCTCTTCGGCCTACCTCCAGAACCACCTCACACCAGATAACTGTCTCAGCATGATCAGGGTCTCAGAAATCTTACACTGTGAAAGTCTCAACAAGAAAGCAAAAGCGATGGCCCTGAAGCATTTCCCTGAAGTAGCCACTTCCGAAGACCTGAAAGAACTTTGCGCCTTGGAATTGTTGAACTATCTTGGAGATGACGAGCTCTGTGGAGAGGAAGAGCAAGTCTTTGAGGCCCTCATGTCCTGGGTTCGGCATGACGTCCAAGCACGGCAAGGCTACATCCAAGACTTGTTCAAGAAGGTAAGGATTCAGTACGTCCACCCTACCTTCTTCTTCCACTTCATTGCCAACGACTCTCTCATTCAGTCATCACCCACTTGTCAAAGTATCCTGGAACTGGCGAGTAAGCAGATGTTTTCTTTGTACAGCACCAGCGCTCCTGATGTCAAGCCCATGTGGCACGTTCCACGGCGATATTCATACCGAGAGTTCCTCGTCCTGGTCGGTGGTCGGAAGGACAACCAGCAGACCATGAGGGATGTATTGCTGTATGATGAGAAGACGAGCCAATGGTTGACCCTTGCCAAATACCCAGCACGTCTCTATAAGGCCTCTGCGGTGAGCTTGCACAGTAACGTGTATCTCCTTGGGGGCATCCCCATTGGCAATGGGAAGGGGCAAGTTAGCAACAATGTTTACATCTTCTCGCTCAAACTTAATCAGTGGCGGCTGGTAGAGCCCATGCTGGTTCCACGCTATTCCCACAGGAGTGTTGCCTATAAAAACTACATTTTTGCCATTGGAGGTATGGGGGAGAACCAGGAAATCCTAAATTCTATGGAAAGGTATGACAGCATCTACAACGTTTGGGAACATATGGCAAATATGCCCGTGGCTGTCCTTCATCCGGCTGTGTCTGCTAAAGACCAAAGAATCTACCTTTTTGGAGGAGAGGATATTATGCAAAATCCTGTCCGGCTAGTACAGGTAATTACTAATCCTCAGCGTCTTACCTGCTCTGAGTCAGTTTCTCAGTGTCAGAGGGAATACTGGGCAAATGCAGAGACAGGATTCCAAATTTATGAGACCACCAATTCTCGCCATGTTTGGCTCTCCCAGTGTTCTCCAGCATACTGAATGACTTGTATCTGGACTCAACAAGCAAAATAAGATTCTGTCCTTTACCATGAATTCTGCATGACAGACAGCCAGGTGCACTTTCCTAACCCAGAATTCCCCTCTCCAGAAAATCACCTTTAAAATTTGTGTTTGCAGAAACAATTATTTCATTATGATCAGCTACTACCACGATGATGCTTTGCTTATTTTGGAGGGGGACCACCAAGGAAGCTGGATCCACTTTGCAGTGTGCAGGGTTGCTAATCTCCAGGTGGGGCCTGGGGATATCCTGAAATTACAACTGACCCCCAAGACTGCAGAGACCAGTTCCCTTTGAGAAAATGGCTGCTTTAAAGGGTAAAAACTATAGCATTATACCCCACTGAGGTCCCTCCACTCCCCAAACCCTGCCCTCCCCAGCCTCCACCCTGAAATCTCCAGGAATTGCCCAACCCAGAGTTGGTGATCCTAGCAGTACGGGATCCAGGACTGTAGCTCTTGCTGTGAGCATGACAACAAAAATGTTGGCACCATTGGCTGGGCCAGGGTCCAATCAGAGCCTGAGTCCTGAAACATCTGTGTTTTGTCATCTGCCTTTCTGCCTGCTTGTGCCCATAAAGGCCTGACCCTGCCTTGGGTGCCTTTTTAATATCAAATGTCAGCAGTCTTAAATATCTAAATGAACTATTTTGGAGCATCGTAAAGGCTGAAGTTTTAAGGAGACACACAGCAAACAGGCTGTGGGGAAAGCAAGCAGAACGTTCTGTTGTGTAGACAAGAGTCTTCCTTAAACAAAATAATGGCTGCATTCAGATGTAACCCAACATTACACCAACATAGACACAAGCCTGGCTTGTTGTTAACATGTTTGCATGCAAGCCTCCTCCTTCCCTCTTCAACCTTCATTTACAGAATCCAGGTTATAAATTAACTCCAGATTCCTGTGATATACGAATATTAGGCCCACAAGATTCATTTCCTCTCCCTTCTAAGGATCCTAGATTGCGAGGGACAAACTAACTCTGGTTAACTGAAGTGCCTGCATTCTTTCAAAATGGGCTGAGAATGGTATAACTCTATTTACGACTGCACTATTAGTTTCTAACTAGGATTCTCCGTGTAGGAACAAAAGAAGAGATAGGAGGTATGGATGCAAGCTTGCCAGCAAGCCATGTTCATGTACATTCAGAGGTCATTTCGGGGGGGATCGCGGGGGAACACAGTTCCCCCGGGTGAGGTGCGTGGGGCGGAGCACACGACGAAGCCCCGCCCCCTGCTTCCAGCCGCCCCGCTTCCGGCCCTCATTCAGCCAGGAGGAGGCAGGAGAAGAGGGAGGGTAAGTTGCTTCCTCCCCGCCTCTCCCCACCCCTGCCTGCCTGGGGCCAGGGAGGGCCTTGGCGGGGCTTCCTCTCACTCCTGCCGGCCTTGCAGGTCTACCGCCGGGCCCCTGATGTCAGGGGGTGTGGCATATGCTAATGAGCTATGCTAATGAGTTCCCCTAGCTCTTTTTCTACGAAACGACCCCTGTGTACATTTATCTATTCAATGATTTATTATTGTTTATTAAGTACCCCTTAACCCCATCCTTGGAATGCGGAATGATATGGTATAGCCCGATCTCAGAAGCTAAGCAAGGTTGATACTTGGATGGGAGACCACTAAGGAAGGCTCTGTAGAGGAAGGCCATGGCAAACCACCTCTGCTTCTCACTTGCCTTGAAAGCCCCTTCCTGGCGTCACCACAAACTGGTTGCAACTAGACAGCACGTACATACAATAATCCCATCTTTCTTCCTGCAAGAAGCTCAGGGTGGTAGACATAATTCTACCCTCCTCCATTTTTGGACTGGCGGAGTGTGACTGGCCCAACGTCACTCAGTGAGCTTCCATGGAAAAGTGGTAATTTGAACTCGGGTCTCCCAGATTTCAGTCTGACACTCTAACCACTGCTCTAAACTAGCTCTGCCTGAATGCAGCCATTAATGTCATAAGAACATAAGAGAAGCCAATGTTGGATCAGGCCAATGGCCCATCCAGTCCAACACTCTGTGTCACACAGTGGCCAGAAATACCAGGTGCCCTCAGGAGGTCCAGCAGTGGGGCACATCCACAGCCATTTCTGCAGAGTGTTTTGAGATCAGATATTCTTTTATTAGAGACCAAGAACGACATCTGCAGTTGTGGTTGCCAGCTCCAGATTGGGAAACATCTGGAGATTTTGGGAGTGGAGCTGAGGAGGGTGGGGTTTAAGGATGGGAGGGATATAATGGGGTATAATGCCACCTTCCAAATCGGCCATTTTTCTCTAGGTGAACTGACCTCTGTCAGCTGTAATAGCGAGAGATCTCCAGCCACCATCTGGAAGCTGCCAACCCTACCTGCAGTTAGCTATGGCAGGACGGAGTCAGCGGCTCTTGTCATTCAAGTCCCAGCTAACAAAGGAGGAAAGTTGCCAGTCACATGGGAGATGGAGCAGATGCTAATGGTCTAAGGATAGCTAACCAGAAGAGTTGGCTTCCTTCCTATTTTCCAGCTGCTAAATTGCATCATGCCAGCGCTGCTCTAGTCATCCGTAAGAGGCAATGAGCAACCAATTGTACAAGGATGTAGAAGAGGATGCACATTTGAGTGCATATCCCATTCAAGGGTAGTGTAGATGGATGGCATCTTTGTTCAAGGTGCATTTGGACAGAGTTCTCCATGCATAACTGAGGTATGCTCACATGCCCAGTCCAGCAAGGGAGATCTATACATGAGGCTGTTAACGAGCACAGAACTTCTTAACCTGATCATGGCAACTCACCGTCAGTGTTCCCTCTAAGCTGAGCTAGTGTGAGCTAGTTCACAGTTTTTTAGCCTCCGGCTCACACATTTTTGTCTTAGCTCAGGAAGGATGGCTCCAGAGCAAACTAATGTATGCAGTAGCCAGATCATTTGCTCACATCTTTAATGCCAGGAGCTCACACAAAGTAGAATTTTTGCTCACAAGACTCCACAGCTTAGAGGGAGCATTGCTCACAGTGACGTTCTAAGCGGAGTTCTACCCGTCTGAGCACATTGGTTTTGATGGGCTTAGGGTGGCACTGTAAATTAAGTTTTGTTTTTGGCAATCGATTATAATTTCTGCAAAGGTGTAGATCAGACATCCTTCACTTCAGAAAGAAAATGGGGGTATGCAGTTAGGGGTAGTATTTTACTCCAAACCCAAGAAAATATTTCATGCCCTTGTGTTTCTCAGGTATACCATGTGTCTAGGAACATGTGGTTCCGAATGGAGACCCGAATGGTGAAGAATGTCTGTGCACCCGCAGCTGTGATTGGAGACCGGATTTTCATTGCTGGAGGTAATGTTTATGATATTTGGTTTTCACCATGCAGAATCCCAAGATAGAATAGTTTCTTCCGTACTGCATGACAATGGAGACTGGTTCCTTCTTCCACTTGGAAGTTTTCAAGAAAAGAGATGAACAGAGGTAGTTTGCCATTGCCTGCCTCTGCACAGCAACCCTGGGCTTCCTTGGAGGTCTCCCATCCAAGTACTAACCAGGGCCAACCCTGCTTAGCTTCCAAGATCTGGTGATATTGAGCTAGCCTGGGCCATCTGGGTCTAGGGTTGCCAGGTCCTCCCTGGCCACAGGTGGGGGATGGGGGGTTAGAGTTGCCAGATCCAGGTTGGGAAACTCCTGGAGATTAGGGTAAAACAGGGACCTCAGTGGGTTACAATGCCATAGAGTCTGCTCTCCAAACCATCCATTTTCTCCAGGGGAACTGATCTCTTTAATGGTGAGATAAGCCATAATTTAAGGAGATCCCATGTTCCACCTGGAGGCTGGCATTTTCCCCATTTCGTTTGTTTTCCTTGCTCAGTTTGTTGCAGTGCTAAAATTATGCATGCAAACATTTTATTTTAAATAAATACTTTATAACTTTTGATGCTGGTAGTGGTTCTCTGTACCACATAGACCTCCACTGTCTCGGACACACTATTCTAAAAGGGGTGCCAGGGAGGGAGGAACACAGTTGTCAAGCGGCTATTCCTCCAGGGGCGCACAAGGCAGTAAATTGTCCCCATGGTGACCAGGCACTGAGCGGCAGGAGACACAGCAGCAAGGCCTCAGAACTTGGAAGGGAAGATGGCGGTCCTAACCCTCCCAGTGGGCAGTCCTGGCAAAAGGTCAGATGGTGGTGGCAGGCTACCCTGAGAGTGGCAGAAAAGCGCCTCCAGGTGTGGAAAAACACCTAGGATGGTAGGGCAGAATTGGATCTGCAGGCCAGAGCAGGCACAATCCGCCACAGCCTCCTTGGCACGTACACACACAGAAATCAACATGTATCTGTGTGTCACGCGTTACATTCTGTATAACACACATAGATTTCCGATGTGGAAAAAAAACAAAACATG